CAGGAGGCATGTCCGTTGGCTCAGTTGTTTAAGTGACTGCTTAAACAAAGCAATCAGGATGCTGTGGTTCAATCCCTAGGTCCTCAAGCCTTCCCAGACCTGCCTTGAAGGCATCCTGAGCCAGTCTCCCCACCTAAAAAAAAATGGCATCCAAACAAGAAATAATGAATGACTAGAGATTCAGGTGCGTTTCAAAGGACTCAAGGTTCTGGGAAATGCCAGAAAAGAATGGAAAAGTCAAAATTGACAAGAGATTTTGAGCCATGGTTCATGACAAAATGTTCACCCTGAACTATGCTGTTGGTAAAAGAGGCCAGCCCATCAACCATAGCACCAGCAAGGACTTGAAATGTTTCTGTGACCTTTCAGACTCTATTCTGATCTCTCTGATGAAGATAGCAAAGCAATGAATCAACAGAAAATGAAGAAGAAAAACATCAGACAACAGAAGAGATTCAAAATCTTCGATTGAGGGGAGAAAAAAGGAAACCAAGAAAATTAAACCTGGAAATATAAATGAATTACGTAATTTTAACGGAATTGAGAAAGCAAAAAACTTGTGTATACGTGAGAACATAGATTCACAAATAAGTCCTAAGAAGGACAGCAAAGAACTACATGAAAAAGTACAAAAGAGAAAAAAAGCCTTATTGAATATAGAAGAGACTCTATTCCCAAAGGAAAACTAAGGACAGGCCCAAGTACCTCGAAAATTGTCAAGTCTCCCAAGATCAATTGTTCCAAGACAAAAAGAGAAAAGCAATGAGTGGTTCCATTCATCATAGCAAAGATGGTGATGGAAACATGTCTGACAAAGATGTTCTGGAGGAAGATTTGGACAGTGCAGGTGAAATAGGAAGTGATGAGGAAGCTGAAGATGAAATAAATCACTGGTGGTGGCAGTTTCAGCTGATGATGGAAGTGAAGATGGAGAAGACAGTGAGGAGGATGAAAGTGACAGTGGCCCTGATCTTGGCAGGGGTAAAGGAAATATAGAAACTACTTCTGAAGGTGAAGATGACTTGTAAAGCAGGTTCTAAGAAAGCACAGGTTGGAGAACCCACAAGCGTGAAATGAGCACTCTGCTGGGTGGGCACTGCAGTCCCCTCAGTGGTTAAATGGGGTGTGTGGGCTGTGGCTCCGTGCTCACATCTAGACCTAACACTGGGCAAAGAGGACTCAGTGTAAGGAACAGCAGAACAGGGGGCAAAGGGAGGGACTGCTGTTGGATCCTGCAGGCAGGGCCCCAGGTGCCCCAGGGAAGGGAATGCAGGCCTGCTGGATTCCCTGCTCTGCCTCTCAATATTGAGGGCTCCTTTTCATGAAGTAAGACCAACCTCGCTAACTGCCTCTTCAAGAGTGCACCAGTCAGGAAGATTTCACAACAAATTGGGGAAATAATTGGGGAATCATAATGGACAAACTGTGCGCCATTTGCCAGTGTCTCACTTGTTAGCAGAGACAGCAGTGTGCCTCGTGGGGCTCAGGAGGGCGAGTGGTGCACACCTCCAGCCCTCACTGCTCCTGGAGCCTGAGGGTGGACTATGACACTGTCTGAGCTGGAAGTGAAGCAGGACCTGACCCACATAGGGAGAAGGTGATGAGGGGCCAGGAGGAGCAGAAGGGACCCCTAGAGCTGACCTTCAGTCTTGGTGGACACCCAGGCATTGATGTGCCTCCTGGAGCTCTCTGGAGATTTGGCAAAGCACAGCTGCTCCAGCTTGGCTTGGTAGGACTTGAGACAGGACTCCTGAAATGACTGTAGTGAGAGATGCTTCAGATGAGGCCTGGAGCTGCACAAAAGGTTAGGAAGCTGCCACACATTCCGAGCATCTGTGCAGCTGAATGTAATTGTTTGCATAAGGTAGAAGCATTTTAATGAAAGGTGACCCATCGATTTGGAGCCGGGAGGAGAAGGGTCAGGAGATAGTCTGTCTATTTCCCTAAGAGAGAAACCATGGTAATTGAAAAAAAGAATGTAAATGACCAGTAAAAAAGGGGGACAGGGCATACCTGAAGAGCAATCAGGAGAGGGTGACCTTCATGAAAACAATTTTCCTTGGTAGTGTGATGGTGGCAGTTTTAATGTGGAATGTAGCATCACCAACATTAAAATTGTCCAAAAACAGGTAAATTGGAGTTGATGAATGATCCTGTAAGGCCCATATGACAACCTGAAATTCTGTCTTTTGTGGAGAAGCAAAACATATCATATATTTAGGACAAAGAGACTGAATATTAAACCTGCTTCCAAAGAAATACCAATTGTGAAAACAGAAACAGCTCCCACTATGATAACTGAGCTTGTTTTTGAAGGTAAGACACAGCGTATGAGGGAAATCAATGGAATTAAATTGTTTGGTGGATAATGACAGTAACACCAGGGATATTAACTAATGTGGTTGTCCAGCACGCTGAGACTTACCATAATTGCTGTTGCTGACCTCAAGAAAAGGGACCAATTATATTTTGAACCTCGTGTCCAAATAGCACATTTCCATACACATCCAATCAGTCTGGTCACAGCATCATAAAATTGAGTAATGTTTTTAGGTGGAGCATGCAGCAGAGATAGCCATTGAATCAGGTCAAGGTGGGCATAGAACCATGGACACAGGACCTCGGTGGGCATATGTAGAGTGGAAAAAAATTAAAAACATTAGAACACATCACATCTATAGAACTAAGCAATATAAAGAGCCAGATTACCTTTATTCAAGGCAGTTTTAGCTTTTGATGTAAGAAGTCTTTGAAAGTAGGTGCGGCATCTCCCTTTACAATGACAAAGAGAGGGGCTAAATCCAGGTAGCTAAACAGATGAGTGGAGCCGATTATCAGAGAGGGGGGCACATAGATTCCCAGAGCTCTAGGGAAAGATGATGCAGCCCAGATTTCATAAGGTCCAGCTCCAGCAGGAGAGCTAGACCTGCTTGTGATAAAGGGGTGCAGAGAAGAGCTTGAAGCTGGACACATGAAATCTGGATGAGGATGCAGGCTTTGCAGTGGCACGCAGGCTGCCACAGGTAGTGGAAGGACGAGAAAATAGGCCACTGCAGGGCTTCGAGGTGAGCACCACGAGGTCAGTGTTCCAGGGAGCATATCTGTAGAGTCAGGTCTAGGATGAGGAGAAAGGTCTGGAAGACTCTGCTGCCTGGGGTGTGAGTGGGCACCTCTGCATGGCTCTGCCCTGGCCAGCATGCCCTGTCATGGACCCCAGAGCCTTCAAGGTGGGACACACAGGAAATCCTCAGGGGATTCTCATGGAGCCCTGGAGAGCACCTTATGTGTCCTGAGTCCTGGGAATGCATCCTCACTGTGGCGACCACTGGCAGCCTTGCTAGAGGATGGCAGACCAGCCTGGTGTGCCAAGCTTTGGGCCTGGAAAGCTTCCCCAGGACCTGGTGACAAGTCAAGTGTCTTCCTCCCTGGGTGTCTTAGCTCTGCCCACGTTACACACCCCAGAAATCTGCACGGAATCATCTCCTTGTTCCTTCAGCTGCAGTGCCAGGGTGGGCCCAGAGTACTGGTCAGCTTGAGGGTCAGGGTGTGTGTCAACTGAATTCAGTGCCACAGAGCTTCCCTGTGATGTCCTATGACCCACACACAAATCACAGAAGGGGCATCCCAACCCTTCAGGGAGCACTGGCCCACTCAGATCTTAGCAGCTAATAATGGGCTCGAGCACACCCTTTGCTTAAGGACGGGCCCCCTTACATTGAATGTTTGATTACAAAAGAATGTGTTCTGGGGCCGGAATCCGAGACTGGAGCTGAGTGCACAGTGCGGCTTCTTCCAGGTCGCTCTCCAGGCCTTGGGCTGAGAGCGGGGACCCCACAACCCCTGGCTGCCTGGCCTGCCTGGGTGCTAGGCGCAGTGCTAGCGGCGTCTGCTTCTGGGTCTCCTTGTGCGTCCCTGCAGCTTGGCCTGCAGCATGAGCTGTTTATCATAACACAGCTCTGCCCTGAAAATTCCCGAGCAAAGCTGTCTTCTCTCTCAGAGCACCTTCACTTTCAGCAACGTTTTCTCCACAGTAGATTTGATAGGAAATAAAGGGAAATGAATCCACAGAACTGCAAAGTGACTATCACACCTCTATTTTTAAAATGCATTTTTACATTTTACATTAATGTGTATACTTCCCATGAGGAACATCACATAGTTAAGCACTAGGAATGTTCACATTTGAAATGCCCTCGTCTGCACCTATGGAAGTACTCTGGTAAAACATTTTCTTATATATCTCAACTTTTGTCTAATTTTATTCATTTTGTGTTTACATTTGCATGCTTAATGCCTTAAAGGGAGATCTCATAGACAATACTTTTATCAGACATGTGACTTTTAAACATAGGTGTTAAACTTTGGCTTGAATTTTTATCTAGGTACATGTGTTCAGAGAACAGGAGATCTTTGTGTTAATGAACTCGAGCTCACCACTGTCCATGCACTGTGGCATTACCACTTTGCCTAGGAATACCCAGCCTAACCCAAGGTCTCAGAAAGCTCCATCATGATCCTTCTCAACCTGTTATCTCATTCCATTTCATACCTGACCTGTTTTGAGTGCTCAGAGATTCAGAAGCTAAAAAGAGCGTCTGTTTTCCAATGCTGCTTGAAGGCACCACAGCCACATGTCCACCAGGGGTATAATCTGGGTCTGTTCTAGAACTTTAATTCATTTCACTGTCTTGTCTGTCATGATCCCAATAACAGAATCCTGATTAATGTCACATAACAAAGTGTGACATCAAGCAAATCCTCTGGATGCAGTGTGCCTAATCTTTACTCTTCAGTGTTTTTCTTGCTAGAAATTAATGCCGAGGTGTGGGCCAGGTGCACACCCCAATGGCCCAATATTTAGGACATATTCATATCTGTTTGAATATCCTATAAATCAGCATGGGGAAAAGATGCAGCAGAATAAATGGCAGTCACTTCAGTTAAAGAAACGGAAGGACCTAGAAGCGCTCTGGGCCTCAGCACAGCGCGAATACTTGGCCATGGTCTTCCTCACCACCGTACTTTGGCTGCGGAACCCTGTCATCTTCTGCTACTTTCGGATCCAGGAGGTGCTGAAGCATGCACAGGTGAGTGAGCACGCCGTGGATCAGGGACCCAGGGGGCCAGGAGCCTCCGCCCCGGGGTCCTTGACCGGGCGTTACCTGTTCGTCCATCCAGCACTTTCGGAGGAGGAAGAACCGCTGCTACCTGATGGCCATCAGGGCTGTCACCAGGACCTTCATGATGTGTACTGGGACTCGCAAGCTGAAGAAGCTGAACCCGAGGACCTTAAGCGCCGCCCGCCCTTCCCATCCTGGCGCCCCGGTCCTGACCCACGTGCAGCGCGTTGCTCCTGGCTGTCTGTTGGTAGAGGAAGCTTTCCGGGTCTTTGTTGAGACCTGCAACTCTGTGCCAGTGGCGTTTTCTGAGCATTAGCAGAAAGAATAGGAGCAGTTCTGAGCCCATAAGGCCAGACAGGCCTTGCTAGCAGTAGCCTCTGGTGCCGGTGTTGCGGTCTGCAGGGATCAGAGGTGAATTCCACCTGCTCCCAGCTGTGGTGCTGGGGGAGGCAGTGCT